TTCAAAGTTGCAAAAAATTGCAATTTCATAAGGGGGTATGGTTAATAAATTTGGGGGGTATAAAAAATAGGACCCTAGATTTATTAAATCATTATAATAATTTATACGATGAAACATCTAAAGAACTAAAATTAATTTCTTCAATTATTACAATTTTCAAACAAACTTTACATAAAGATAATTTATCTAATAATAACAATAACTTATCGAGTAACACTGAAATTCAATCTTCTCTTGATGTCGAACAGGAATTTCTTTATAATTTAAATCAATTTTTTATAAACCTATTCAATACTCAAGGTGTTACAGACAATGGAAAAATTTCTACAATCTATTGCTTAAAAAAATATATAGATGATGTCAACAAGAATCCAGATGAAATTCTTAATCAATATAATACTTATAAGCATAGGTATCTTTTTACGGGTATTATTGGTTACTTTTATGAATATAGAATTGGAACAACTGTTGATTACCACAAAGCGTTTGATATTTATAGTCAAGCAGCTAAAGATTTTTGTTATACTATTGCAGATTTTTCAAATAATCAAAATAATTTTCTTTTAATAAAAAAATTATTAAAAGAAAATCAGCATATTGGATTAATCTCTCTTGGTTTACTTTATATAAATGGAAATGGTGTCGAAGTAAATAAACAAAAGGCATTACATTTATTTTTAAAATTAGTTATCAAAGGTTCAAGTGTAGGAAGATGTTATGTCGGAGATTGTTATTATTATGGTCATAGTGTTATTAAAAATCTTTCATATTCTTTTGATTGGATTTTAAAATCAGCTGAAGAAGGAAATCCTAAAGCACAATGCTCAATTGGATATTCTTATTATTGTGGTGAAGGAATTCCTAAAAATGAAGAGATGGCTTTAAAATGGTATATAAAATCAGCTGAAGGTGGAAATTATATGGCATATAATAATCTTGGCTCCTGTTATAAAAATGGTATAGGAACTTTTGTAGACTGTAGAAAAGCTTTTAAAAATTATATGAAATCTGCAGAGGGAGGAAATAGCTTGGGACAAAATAATCTCGACAACTGTTTTAAGAATGGTATAGGTATGGTTGCTGCCGTAATTGCTGAATTACGGCAGATGCCGTAATGCCGTACATATACACGGCAAAGCACCTGAATGCCGTA